CGATACCTAGCACGAGTACTTCCTGTATCAGGAAGCCAGGCAGCACATCATTACACGCTGCCCGGTTTCCTGATTGGCCAGGAAACGGCTCCATGCTCTCTCGTCACTTGTGATGAGAGAGCATGGAGCCGACTTCCTGGCCAATCAGGAAGCTGGGTAGCGTGCAATGACGCGCTGCCCGCTTCCAGATTGGTCAGGAAGCTAGCAAATCCGGAAGCTGGGCACCATATAATGACACAGCGCCCGGCATTCTGATTGGCCGGGAAGCCGGCGTCATGCTCCCTCGTCATCTCATGAATCATAATATTAAAAAAGTGACCTTAAAGCATTATTTTGTATTGCTTTAGAAAAAATTTGACCTGTCCCTTTAAGAAAAAGTATCGGTAATTGGTATCTGCGAGTACTTGATCAAAAGTATCGGTACTCGTACTCGGTCTTAAAACAGTGGTATCGGTGCATCCCTACATAAAAGTCACACTAATGTGATATTATTATAATCAGCGGACTACGTTGAATATATGGTAAATATATGGGGCTGTGCAAATTTGTCCTTTGTATTCCCTAAAATACCAAAGAAATAAAATATACATTTGCCACCAATTTACAGCCATCTCTCCCCCCCCCCCCCCCCCCCCAAAAAAAGGCAGGGTACTCAATACACAACTTGGGGTCCTTTTCTGATCTAAATATGCTAAAGTTTTGTGATTGGTCCACAAACCAGTGACAACCTTCATATGCAAGAGGTGACCTAGCTGTATTTCTAGCTGTGGTAGACAAAAGTCAGGTCATCAGGCTGGCTGTATAAATCTCAGGACTGGATGGTCAGAAATATAGATCCATAGGTATAACCACTCCCATATATGCATGTATCTGTGTATATTTAGCTGTTTGCCTAGAGCTGGGCTTAAAACGTTGTTGGGACTTTCTACTTATTAGTAGGTACTCCTCAACTCTGTGACTATGCTCCATGTGTGTAATGCACTTGTTACTGTATCAGGATATTGATAATTATAGGCAGGTGGGCCATGGTAATATGCCAAATTTGCTTTTATCTCTATAAATGCTGCAAAGAAGACCACGTTCAGCCTTATGAGTAATCCTGACTCAAAATAAATAAAATCCCACTATAAAGTGCACATTTGGGAACTGTTTATTTTATACATTTGGTTCATGGCCCTGTTTACGTGAACATTAACTTTTTGGGAGGATCTTGGCAGAGCACCTCAATGTTTTTGACGGGTGCTGGCTTCATTTCGATTGCAGTTTGCCGACTTCAAAATGGCAACAAAAGTTCCGTCTTAAAAAAAAGAAAAGTAGGTGTACAAATGTTTTCCAGATTAGCCCAACTACACAAGTATTTACCATGAAATAAGGAGTGTGAAAGTAAAAAAAACATTACTGTAATCTCTGTGTTAAATAATAAATACCTGGAAGTATTCTACATACACATTACTTGGCATGCAAATGGAAAAATATCTGATGCTAGGTCCACTAAGGGTTTAAAAGTTTGTCTTAAACTTTGTAAATGCTTACTGAATATGATGCTTGCTGAATATGATGCTCTATCGATTTGACAATCCAAGGTAAGAGACAAACAATGCCCATGTGAGCTGAGCCCGAGGTGTACCTTTATACCTGCTGGGGATGACATATTGGTCATACCTGTGATGAATTTCGGTAGTTTTATCAGTTGGCGTCGGGGGAG